AATGATGAAAACTAGAATTGAAAAGAACATTTTCGTTAACTGAAATAAATAAAAACTATAATTGAAAGAAAATAGATAACCAACCAAACTATATTGTGTGTTTACAAAACTAAAACGTATTAAAATTATAGATAAGAATCCCTTCATTTTCATTTTTTTTCAAATTAGGATGGATATGAAATTGTTGTATTTCGCTTGAGCAATTTTTCGTGAGCTAGCAGCACCGTACACCAGCTCCCAGTTAATCCATTTGGCCCTTATTTGACAAACGTTTGGCAGAAAACTGCAAAGATTGGCATTCATCAATTTGGATGTGAGTGTACGATATGACCAAATCTCGCGACAGGTCTCACATCGTGTACGCAAGTTTGAGTAAGTGCAGATTTGTGGTGCAGCAAATGTCAAGCAGCCAGATTTCATTAAAGATTCCTGCGCTCAGATCTGCACTTAGTTCTATGCAAGATTGATAAATGAGGGCCTTTGTGTTTAGAGACGGCTTCTCATCACCATTCTACCTGGCAAAATGGCGACAGAACTCAAGAGAAAGCGACAGTCCTATATGAAATTTCTTCAAATATGACAGCGAGAAAGACAAAAGCAGGTGCCTTGAAAACTGGTGAAAATATGTGAAATACTTCTCAAGAGAAAAAAACTCACAATCTGAAAGTCCATTAATTGTGAGTACCTCGACAAAGTGGCCTCTCTGAGTAGCTCCCCTGAAAAAGAAGCAACATCTCAGCCAGGTGATAGCACCAGGAAGCAGGACACAACTATAATGGGCTTTTTACACTGATGACCAATAAGCTGCTGGTTAGTAAACACACAGCAACACCACATGTGGGAAGATGCACTCATAAATATGTTTATTGAGATGGGTGTGTCTACAACACTGTGGCCCTCATTTATCAAGCTTGCGCAGATCTGAACGCAGGATTTATCCTACGAAAGGACACACGTGAGATTTATGAAAGGGTTCATATCTGACCAATCCCAGCGTACGTATGATCGGGTCTTGGTAAATGCGGCAGCTGAAATCGATCGTCATTAACATGTTTACGCCCATAAATATTTGTGGTTCAGAAACCTCGCCCACTGAGGTCAAACATGAACGACGAGAAATATTTGAAAGGTTCAAAACTTTTCCAAGCTGAAAGTGGATATCCTCACATCTGTGGTGGAAACTAACAAGGATTTGCTCTTTGGAAACATCAAAACTGGTATAAAAGCAGTCCAGAAAACTCCTGTCTGGAGCAGGATTATGGTGGTGGTGAACAGCGCTGCCGCGAAATAGCGGACAGTGGCTGAAGTTTGAATAAATCATCAGTCAATAAGTTGCTCATGATGATAAATTAATATCTCATACATGCCTCATATTTTTTATTGGTATGACATAGGGTACATTACTCCTATTATTGAAAGTATTTAGTTTTAATTTGTTGCGTCTTTGTAATGTAGAGCAGACTGGACAGTCTGACAGAGGCTGAACAAAAATAATTATTAACCTCACCAAACGGTGTGTTGCTGCCCCTGAGGCACATTTTTATGGATTTGTATTGGATTTTTGTCACTGATTAAATAGCAAGAGCACTTTCTAAACGTATACTTAAGGTATACGTTCTGTCTCCTCTGTACCTTTGTGGAGTCTCTCCTCGTTATTGTTCTCCAGGCATCGGGTCCTCATGTTGCACTGGCACAGCCAACGGCACTCCATTCGCCAGAGCAACATTGTGCAAAACTGTACTGGTCCAAATGATGTCCCACACACTTTCAGGAGTGTACAACAACGTCCCCGCTGCTGGACCAAGACAGAGACACCTGCCTTTTAGGAGTCAAACGCAGCGCTCCACAGTGGCGCGTGTACGCGCGATGTTAAAACAGCACTTATTCTACGTGGCAGTGTTTCTGGGCAGAGTTATCGAATAGGCCTATTCACTAAGGACATAACAAATTTATTTTATTTTATTTTATTTTATTTACGTCTTAATCTTTAATGAAATCTGGCTGATTGTGCTTAATGACAGGTTTGAGGTTTGTTTATCAATTATTTTGAGACAGACATTTGCTGCACCACAGATCCACACTGACTCAAACTTGCGTACACAATGTCAGACCTGTCGTGAGATTTGGTCGTAGCGTACGCTCACGTGCAGATTGATAAATGCCGATCCTCATGTCAAAATTGTTGTACGCAAGGTGTACGCACGTTTTCTGCCGTATGCAAGCTTGATAAATGAGGGCCTGTGTGAGTTGATTGCCTTTGAAAAGTTTAGCTAAAAATTCAAATCACACGGTGCTGCACAAGTAAATAACGTTATTGCCAAGTGAGAAAAAATAAAATTAATACTAAAACTAATAAAAACTAAACTAAAACTAATCATTAAGAGAAAATGAGCAAAATTTGCGATGAGCAATACTTTTTGGGGTCAAAGCTTGAATACCAATAAAATTGAATACCTCAGTGTGAATCGCAATTAAGACTATTCAATATTTTCTAAAGCCTAGATTTTCCCACAATTGATTTATCAACTTTCAATACTTTTTAAGACCCCGCAAACACCCTGTCTAAAAAAAAACTATGGCCTAGTATAATATTTATGACCAACAACATTTTCCCTGCAATGACTGGTACAGAGGGATTTATTAACTTAGAAAAATACTGCAGATCTCTCATCCCTGTGTGACTCTGTGAGCCTGTGAATGGTGGCGGTGTTCACTTTGCTCTGCCTAACAGGATTAACTGCCCTACTCTGTTGTGTGCCGTCCTCTTCTGCTCAGGCTCTCGCTCAAATGACAGGATCACTATCACAAGGGACAGCCACTTCCGCTTGGGAATATTTGCATGTCAGCCAGCCTGTCTGTTTCTTTCTTCATCTCAATTTGTCATTCTTTCATTGTCTCATTCCCAGTTCCCTCTTTTATTCTTTGCAACACACTGTTCTTGTTCCTCATACACTCTCAGTGCGCTGGATTGCATATAATACAAAAGAGATTGTCTTTTTGTGGCAGGGAGACAAGATGTCCTCATTGAAGATAGATACACCCCATCTTTTCTCTGGCAGTGCAGGCCAAAAAATAATAAGATTTACATGAGTCAAGACAGTGGTATACAGTGTACTCATGTAGCAACTTGGTGGATATACTTTTATCTGATGTTATACTCAGGCTAGCAAAAAAAAATCAAAAAATGCTGTCATGTCCCAGTAAGGTAACACACTGCTTTCTGAAGATGCTTCTGAAGCCAGGAGCAGTAGTCACCGTGTAAACGATGCTGAAGATATGCAACTTTTTGTAAGTTTGAGTGTGGATGCATTTTGCCAAAGCTACAGACAGGGATGAGGCGAGAACCCTTGATGGTCTGCAGCCTGAAACAACTGTTAACTGCAGCTGCTGCTTCTGCAGGGCTGCAGCCAGGGTAGAACAGCTACACTTTACAGCATGTCTCATCACTTAAAGATTTTAATGTTATGTTCAAAACAGCACGATAAATGCTAGTTAGCTAATTTTTCAAGGGGTCAAGCTATAACATTGTAAGGTTAATTTTTTTGGTGTAGAGCTGTATAAGTACAATGCTTTGGAGGAAACATGTTCTTGTTTGCACAACAAAATAAAGTACATCTTGATGATGGAATAACAGCCTGTTAAACTTCCGAACAATAGCACTTATCAATTCATCACCACCATAAATAGTATTCCTTGTTAAAGTTCTCTAAAATTCCTTATTGGATCCACCGGAGCTGTTGCTGGCAAGACAAAAACGTGCCTCTCAGTAGGCCGACCAAAAGGTCGGCTAATAGATAAGTCAAGATTATGTCTTTACTGATGTATCTTAATCACTGGCTGATATCTCTTCCTCAGCTTTGTCTGACACACACGTGGCATTATGGATAGCGCCATTTTTTTTATTTAAAAGAGTTTCTCAAATTTTATTACAATGGCCTTTATCTTCTGTAACACTGTAAATTCAAATCTACTGCACTGGTCAAAAGACAGATTCCAGATAAATCTTAAATTAACTGTGAGTTAACAATCTGATTTTGGACTGGCACAATATGCAAATTTTGAGGATAACTAACTGAAGTTTGTCTGTCTGTATCCATCTGGATATCCTGGTTATAAAACACACACACACACACACTAGCATATATTTTAATCAGGAGAGACATTTAAAGATTCGAAAATTTATTTGACAATCAGGATGCCTGATTTGAGCAGCGGTATGAAAATCCCCTAATGGAGTCCTGAAGCTGGTGGTAGTGGCGGCTGATGGATGAATGATGGCACTGTTGATTCTGGTGAGATCGAGTGGAGATGGGGAGGTGGAGGGTGTTGCGCACAAAAAGCGGTGAGAAAGAAACTAGAGGCAGGGAAGAGGCTGACTGTGAGCATGTGCTACCATGCTCACAGCTACCATACAACTGAACAGGCAAGGACATACAAAATAAGAAAAGGATTTCCAAGCAAAATCATACATTTTTAAGATGGAAATTGCTAAGCTTTTGTTGATTAGAACCTGACTTACTTTAAAAACATATAATAGTTCAGCGCATGATTTATTTAAAGGGCTAGTACCTCTGGGAGCGGGACCGTGACTGGGGAGGGGCTGGCATCTGGGCAGAGCCTCCTGAAGAACTGAAAATTGAAGCAGGGTAAGGCCTCAGCAATAACATCGATTTGATGTGACAGCCCGTGATTATGAAGTTTTGATTTACTGATAGCCGCATTTTGTAGCTCATGTAAGCAAATATTTAGGAATGGAAAGAGCGACGATTTTTTGATGATGCTCACTACTCCCTCAGTATCGCACTGTGATGCGTTTGAGTTTCCAGGATCTTCTCCACAAGTGACATGTAACAGCAATGGGGTAAATCTCGGACAAAGCAAAGGAGGAATCCATCTTTTGGAATCAGAACGGCCATTTTGCTCCAATTTTTTTTTTTTTTTTCAGGGAGGGGGATGCCAAGATAATTAAACTTTTGCTTCAATTCGGAAAGGGATGAGCCGGATTGGTCTTGAAGAGGGACGATTAACAGGAAATAGTGTGGAAAGTGAAGCAGAGATGGAACGCAGACTTTGTTTAAAGGATCCAAGACAGAGCTTCGGCAACTTGATTTAATGACGGACTACTTTTGCATCGTAATGTGAGGCACACAGCGAAATACAGTTTGGATTCCTAATTTAGATCAAACAGATGCCACTGTGAAGGATGAATTGGTTGATGTCGGCTTTGGAGCGCCACATGCCTTGGCCTGCGAGCTTGATGAGTTTCACGGCATTGTCTATGGAGGAGTAGTGAAGTGAGAAAGTCTTTAATGGGATGAGACTGTTCATGCTTGGGAAAGGCCCGTTGTGAGGAGTGGACAGATCAAATATTGATCTTTTCTTTCCAGAGTATTTACGTGTTTCTACGCCTGAGGGACTGGAGTGAAATATGGGGAAAGGTGAAGACTCAAAAGGAAAAATTAAATGGCCTTACCTGTTCAGTTATTTGTAGCTGAGAGACAATTTGAGGTTCGGTAATGGATGACTGGAGTTTTTTTTTTTTTACACTGGTAAGAAGAGGCCAGAGAAGACGTGACCCCTACCCGAAACCCCCTGGGATAGACCAGGCATTAAATGATCAACAAACTCTCAGATGGACATATCCCTTGTTAATCTGGGGTCGGCTGACTTTGAGATGGGGGAATTTTCCCTGATGGACGCTGAATTATGGCACTCTGGAGATGGCAGAGGTTGATATCTTTGCCCTGAAGACTTTTAGATCTTAAATGAGTTGAAATGTTTGCGCAGAAAGGGACAAAGGGCCTACCTAGTGGAGAAGCTGTGAGGCTAATGCTGGCAGTAGCGGTTCTAGGCACGGGCGAACAGGGCAGCCGCCCGGGGCGGCATTTGTGTCATGACTCATGGGGGGCGGCACGAGCACTTCCAAAAAAATAAAATAAAAGATAATAATAATAAATCTTGACCGCAAAGCGGTTTTGTATTAAGTCTTGTTGTCAAATTGGCGCCCCCCCGCTGCTGTAGGCGCCCCTGCTTGCTCCGAAGGTGCTGCACAGAGGCTGACAGACTGTGTGAGACGAGGCGGGGAGAGAGTCGCGGGGGGACAGCTCTGCTCTGTGTACGCATGTCAGCATATCAGCGGGAGCGCGGATACGTCATTTTGTAGTTTTTTAATCATTTCTGGAGTCGCGGTGAATGAAATCACCGTACCCGTCTGCCTTTGATAGGCGAATAAAGCACTCGGGTTCATGCTCGGATCTTGCTACGTGCTTGATGAGCTTCGTGAGTAAAGTAAACAATGACTGAGGCAGAGAGCAGCTTCAGAGGAGAAACATCCAGCAGTGTGAACAACCTCTTCATATGGAGTCCTTTGGCTCACACTATCAGCGTTTTCTCTGAGTGTTGCATGACTTTGGGTGAGAACAGAGATGAACACACTGTCAGCCACGTATTTATTTATTCACTTTTTAGTTTTTAGTTCTGCTTTTGTACTGGCACTATACTGGGGCAGCTGTATACCCTTTCAACACCTTATTTTCTACATTTACATTTGTATTGAATGGACACTTTATCATGACTCACACTTGTTTTACAGAAAGCAAATTATTTGTCATTCTCCAGTGCAGAGCCTTTACTTTTATTTATACAGCCGCTTTATTTCATTTGAGTTTGTTTGTTCAAGGTTTTCAAAAATGTGATGAAGGTTCTCAAAACTAAAAGAGAGCTTTCTTGAAAGCCACGTTTAAGCTCTCAAATACTTTTTGAATTTTGTTTCTATCTACTACAGAGGCAGAGATAGCAGCTTTTTTGTAAACCTTAACACGTCAGAAAACCTCAGGATCTGGGGGCCCTTCTCAAAATGGCCCTCAGGATTGTGTTTTTTTCTATGAAGGATTTCTGCAATTGAGAAATATATTATTTTTGTTGTTATAATAATAATAATACTACATAGTAATACAAAACTATCTGTTCAAAATTCTATGTCTTTTTGTGTTTGTGTGTGTGTGTGTGTGTGTGTGTGTGTGTGTGTGTGGGGGGGGGGGGGGGGGGTGCTCGCCCGGGGAGTAATTTGGTGTAGAACCGCCACTGAATGCTGGGACATGGCAGGTGCAATTAAGGAGCAGGTGGATACATGCAGAGCTGAGGTTAAGGCTTGTGTTTGGTTCAGGAGGAGTTGAGAGGCTGGTGTTACCACTGAGGGAGCTGCCGTATTATACAGGAATTGCAGTGGTTGTTAATGAGTTGAACAGAGTTTATCAGAGTCTGAAGAGTGGTAGCCACTGATACGTTTTCTCAGGCCGGTCTGGAGTGTCAGAGGTAATGCAGGAGGAGGAGGCTTGTGGCTAAGCAAGCTTCAAGCCGGGAGCTGGGTTGATTCCTTGGGCTTAGCATTTCCAGAATTTCTGGTTAGGTGCTTTCGAGCCTGGTTGCGTTCCTTGTACTGCTCCGGGTTACTTGAGATATAGATGGTGTGCTGATGAGATCGGTGTTAGTCAGGTCAACCTCTAAGTCCGGCATTTTTTAAAAGAGATGGGGGATTTAGGAAGTGCAGGCCTGCCAAATTACTCTTGCTATAGACGCTGAACTGTTTTGGATGTTGCGCACAAACCAGCAGTGAGAAAGAACTAGAGGCAGAGAAGAAATTCATTTTTAAATGAGAGCAGAACAGGTATAGGCTTACTATGGGCATGTGCTACCATACTATTTTCACACACACACACACACACACACACACACACACACACACACACACACATATCTATATATAAATATAATTATAGCCTTACTTCTCTTTTGGCTTGATGTTGAGACAGGGGTGCCTACTAAACCTGAGCACTGATGCAGACTAAATGGAGATTTGCTGTATGTTCAGTCAAAGATAGTAAGAAAAAAAGCCACTTATTTAATAACCAAACATGTTAACGTGTGTTTTACATGCAAAAACACTGTAGATGAAATAAATATTGGAGCTTTGTGCTTATGCACAGATTATAAATTATTAGCAACAAACTTGCACTTAAGTAGCCTACATCACAGTATGAGTATGCCTATATAACACTAGTAAACTCAAACAAAACGAACAGATAGTGGTAATTCACAATGCGCAGGCCTCGTATACTTTTCTTTCCCAAAGACTAAAACGGGGTTACACAATGGTGCTTCAGACCATAATTTAGTTTAATGGGTCACCAAATGTATCCATGTTTGCTGAGTCTGAACCTTCTAAGTTTCAAATCTCTTTTAGCACAATTCAACAGGAATTCCCAAAGCTTCATAGTGTCATCTGCCCAAAGATTAGGTTAAGCCTTAACACTGAGCTAGGGGTTCTCTTAGGGCAGTGGTCCCCAACCTTTTTTTTTTTTTTTTTTTACCAGAGTCAAGTTTAATGCAGGAAACTTTTTCCAAGGACCAGATAGGGCCGTGGAGGTTCCAATAACAAAAACCTTAATCAGTACATAGTATGTAATCTGGAAACAACAATTACATTTTATATTAGGCACTTTTCATTACACTTTAACATCAACTCACCATAATGCAGAATCAACTCTTTCTCATCCAGTGAACTCCGTGTCTGGCCCATTTTTGCAAGGGATGGCATGTGTTGCTAATGCAGGAAAATGACATGCTGAAGAGTCAAGAGCGTAATTGAGGCGATGGCGAAAGTGAGGCGATGGCGGAGGGGGTGGTCTTTTAAAATGAGGTACTGGGAGGACGGATAAAAATTTAACAATAATAATTTTTTTGCGGCCCGGTACCCGTCTGGGGCCCGGTGATTGGGGACCTCTGTCTTAGGGGATTCTCTGGTTTACAAATCTGGCCCCCTTGAAAATGTAATTGCATGGTCTTTTTTGAAGAGTATACGAAAATTTTGGAGTTCAACCTCTGAAAATATTCGGTATAAGTTAAAAAAAGCAGGAATGATGAAAGGATGAATTGAAGCCATGGTTTGTTGAATAGAGAGATAGATGTTTGGACATATAATTCTGACAGAGCAAACAAGCAATTTTTCATCACCATCTCTCTTCAGAGTGCTGACAACTTGAAAAGAAATGTGCTGCAGCGCTGGTGAATTTGTAATGTGACCTTGTCTCTTCTTGGTTGCAGGTAACAAACAAGTTTGTCTGTGAGTCTTGGAAAGCAATATAAGGAATATATTATTTTGTATTTTTGCATGCTGCTATGTGAAATTGATGAGGTGTATTAGATTTCAGATCTGTCAGCCATGATGCCTCTGTTGATACAGTTATTATAGGACGCCATATGACAAAAACTCAGTTTGCCTCAGCATTTCTCAAGGTCAAACAAGCTCCAAGTTTTCAATTTTACTGCTCCAAACATAAGTCATCTTTCTGGACACATTTGTAATAATGCAATGCAATTTGAGAGTCATTTCAAACCCCTAAATACACAGTTACTGATGGTTATGTCCAATGACCTACACACACACACACACACACACACACACACACACACACACACACACACACACACAACTCTAAGTAGATTTCACCAATTCTACCTCATTAATTCAAACAGCCTGACTTTCTAAACATCATAAATCACTGCAAGACCAGCAGCCCAACCCCTCTCACCTTTCTCTCCCACCCACTTTCTCTCCACCTTATCCCACATCATCTCCCCCTTCTTGTCATCCGTTCCCTCTTCAATCACTCTCTCATTTTCTCTTTCCTCACCTTGCTTCTTCCAGAGGTCTTAAAGTTTGTAGTATGCAGTCTAAATAGTGCTCTGATGGATTGGCTGTCGTCCACAGGCCTGAAGATTAGCCCAAGGGCAAACCAACTCCTGTTTCCTGGGTGCCATGCTGAAGATGAATAACTGTTTATTAACCCGATGTAGAGTGACTCCTTCCCCACCTTATTAATGTGGTGGTGCTCTGGTTGACGGTGTGACTCTCTCTCTCTCTCTCTCTCTCTCTCTCTCTCTCTCTCTCTCTCTCCATTCCTCTTCCTGTCTCTCTCTCCATTCCTCCTCTGGCAGATAAACCAGCAGCATGATGTAAAGTGACAGTGTGTGTTTGGTTCTTGTTTGGTCCTTGACAACACAGGAAATTGGCTTTTCATCTTACAAAAAAACACAGCAAACCATATGTCGGAGGATATTCATCTTATTATGAGGGGCAGAGCATAATTGGAAGTCCATGCATTCTTTTTTTATAGCCACAACCAGGGACTGAATTTATTGATGCTTTTGTGGCATATCTGAGTCATAAGTGACGCCCTCTATTAGAAATGTTCAAAGAGTGAAAAACTTAGAATCTTAGTTTGAAGTAATTTTAAAAAAGTGTACACAATGTATCTACTGCTGTAACTACAAATTGATTATGCAAATGATAGTGTCAGAATCTCAAATCTGCCCAAATTGCATGTAGACAGTTTTTGGAGGGGTGGCACTGTCACATGTTATATACTTTAGTTTAAATGAAAGCTATATTCATTAGCGCTGTCAAGCTATAATTTTTCAAAGTATAATTGCTGAATTTTAACTGTTAGTCCCAGATAATCACATTTTTAATAACCTTTAAAAATTTTTCATTTTAGTATTTTAGAACCATTTTTAAAGTAGAATAATTCTAACCAGTTTTTCTCAGATAACTCATCTCTTATTCAAGTCCAGTGATCCCTGGTTCATGTGACAGCATTTGCACTTGTGAGGAGTACTGTGTTTATTGGTCAAAGGTTGTACTTAGTATGGCTGTCTGTTTAGTGGTGTTCTGGGCCAGACTTGGCCATTTTCAGCAAGCAGTGGCCCAGCTGGTGGCAAATCACAGTGGTGTAGCATCTACTTACAGTCAACAAAATAAACAATAAAAAAATGTGAAGAATATACAAAATTTTATGATATAAATTTTATTACCTTGGCTTGGGACATGTAATATAAGTCTGGTCACAATGTTTTTGATTTTTTTTAATTTAATATAGTGTAATCATTTCGTAGATATTAATGAATCATACCTACATACGATATCATACATACGATAGCACTGTGCATTGTGGGAAACAGTATGTGAGATGGACTAGTGTGCTGCACAGTTTAATTTTTTCCTGAATCAGAATGACATCCAGGTAAATCATTGACTTCATTTTGGCCAAATCAGAACACACTGCTGGTATAGTTGGCAGTTTTGTTTATAGCAATAGTATGCTTATAATACACTAATTTTGACAGCTCCCATAGGGCAATTTTCCTTCATTGTGAGATCAGAAGCCAGGTAATAGATTTTGTCGTCATTAAGATGAAAACTGACTTGACAGAAATGCCCCTCTTTATCCTTGTTTGCATTGCAACTATAGGATAGGTAAATACCTTCATGTTCCATTGAAATGTTGACTGTAGTGACTGCACTGACGGTGTTTTTGGCCCTTACTCCTGAAATACCCTTTTTATTTTTTCTCAATTTGACCCCATGCTTGAACACATTTCTATCATGGTGAGAACAATTACACAAATGTTTACCTGTTCTGCACTGTAGGTTGATATGTTTTCATGAAGAGGTTAGAAAGTAATTCAACAAGACAGATCCAAAAATAGATAAACCACTCTGTTTTTACTTAAGCAAGCTGAGCACAGAAGAATTGCTGAAAATGATATACAAGGTTTACTGATTTTCATTGACAGATTAATGAATCAAATAAAGAATCATATCAATTATCAACCTGGTAAAGTTGCAGCTCTCAAGAGTACCATGATGGCTCTACAGAAAACTTGTAATTTCAGTAACCATGGTGATGGCAGTTGGATTTGGACCCACATGTAAAAAAAAAAAAAAAAAGATAAAGTCCGCTTCATTGACCTGAGACTAAACCAAACCAGTGAAACCATCAGGAACCCTTTAAGTACTGCTGTGCATGGCAAATAGTGACTCAAATTCTTACAACACTAAATTAAAGTAAGCAACTGCAGAATGTGTGACTGGCATTTACATGGAAAAGCTACATTACCACGTAATGTCTTGAGAATATGTATGTTGTTCTGTCCTGGTAGAAATACTGAAATACAAAAAGCAATACAGCCTTTGCTGGAAATCAAACACGCAAACTAAATGTGCTTCTTATCTTAACATTGACTCTCCATATAAGGCATGAGTTTGTTTTGTTATAAACATTTTTTTGGTCTTTGCACTCAGTTATCTAAAAAGCAATGTGCACTTGTCCACACCTGGGGTTAGATGGAGCGTTATTTACAGCGCTATTTCTGCAGACTTTTTGTCACCACATCTGGAGATTTCTTTCAGATTTTCGGCTCAAACTATAAAATATTTTGCCATTCAGTTTGTCGATGTGTTCACCGTCTTTTGGTATAGACACATAACCAAGGACAGAACATCACTATCCGGATTCTCACTGATGTTAAGCATAGATACAAGGTTTCAAATGCCAGATAAAATGGTAGGCAGGGATTAAAAAGAAATATTCAAAGACAGTAATAGGGTTCAGGATTATCAAATTTTAAAATGTTAAGCGTAACATAACTCATTCACCACATATATAATATTTTCCCATTTTCCCTTCCCGCGAGATTGTTTTGTAGCCAAAGAGGATGGACTTAGAAAAGGGGACACCCTCTTCTTTTTCATTTTTGAAGACCCCTTAGCAGCAGTTCCCCTCTGCATATCAAAACTGCCTCTCTTTCTGCAAGGCAAAGGTCTTGGGAATACATGAACTCCTTAAGGTCCCAGATCCCTTATCCAGTCAGTGTTTGTTTAAATGTACATTTTGTTGAAGTAGGATGGTAATAGCAAAATTTAACCTTTCAGGTTATGACAGCAGATCCTCTGAAAGAGTCCAAGTACTAGCTGTTACCCAGAAAGTTCAAACTCTGATGGTGATTGATAACAAAAATGTTACAACAGAAAACCAGCCAGGACTGACTGTGAGAAGAGCCCTGCAGTCAAATTCGGAGTCGGTGCCCATTATTCTGGATGATTTCCCAGTGATTCCCCTGCCTATTCTCCCTGAATCAGTAACTCCTCTTCTTTTATGAACTTCCACCACTGCACTTGACCTGTGCGCTAAGTTAGCTAACTGCACAGTTGGGCAAGCTCAGGCTCAGGGGTAGCATTGGGAAGCTTGGAGTTGAAGATCTGCAGAGAGTCCTTGATACGTGCCACCTCCCCGGCTGACAGCTTGAGGCGATGGCGCAAAAGGCAAGAAAACAGATCTAGTGGTTGCGGTGCTGGCGGAGACAGCCGGTTAATCCTGTCCCTCATCTCCAACAGCATCATAAAGGCAGCGTCCTGTGTACCCTGTGTGTACGGGTAGTCCAGCTGTAGGATCAGATCCTTGATGCCCTCGGGGTCAAAGTGCATGCTGTATCCAAACACTTTAAGCGTATTGATCTTCATGTAGCCCATGTTAGAGGTCTGATCATCAAGGTCCAACGGTTCATAGAAGAGAGTTTCATTCACTGTTGGATCATCTGTAAGTATGCGGCTTCGCAGGTAGATGTGCACTGTCTCAAAGAAGGACTTCCACTTGCTGCCCAGAGACAGCGTCCAGTTGTAACACTGTGCCGTCGCCACAGCGTCCAGTCGAGTTCTCTCCCAGTTAGGGAAGTCAGGCTGGGTCACTGGCATGAACCAGCTCTCAGAGTGACTTCCTCCAAAAGGATTCACATATATTGCAGGCACAGGCTCCAGTGTTGAATTCTTTGTTAAACAAATCTGAAAAGAAATGCCCATCAGCATGTGAATGAGGTTGGACTTATTTTTGTTACTCTTGAGCGTCAGCAACATCCTCTTCCTCCAGGCAGGATTGAACCAGCTCCCTAGGCGCACATCGTTGCTGATGTAGATGGCATGGACCTCAATTCTACTGTCCAGTCGCTGCAGCAGGTACTTCACCTAAAGGGAGAACATGAACTACTATTAGCCATAAAGGTAGACTGTTTTAAATATGGAGTACTGACTTTCAAGGCTGCAGTAATTTATTTTTTTAGTAATCAAGTATCTTATCAGTTATTTTGACGGTTAACTGAGTAACAGAAGAAGTAATGTTTCATGCTTTGCATTTTTCTTGCCTCTATTGCTGTAACGATGCAAACTAAAACTAATGAAGGATTATCTTGTGTTATTACTAGGCTAAATAAATATCTTCACTTTAAGCTCCTGTAAGGAACTGTCTGCTGTGTTGGATTTTAGGTCCCAAGAGTGTGTTAAGGGTTTTATGACTACTTCGTTTTACAATGTGCCAAGTCTTTAAACGGTAGTTAACTGGTTGTTATGTAAGAAAGACCCTGGAAAAAAAAATAAAATATGTGGTTTTACTGAACAAAATGGGTCTTTCACCACACCATGGAACCAAGATCAACCTGTGCTATTGACTGTTTGACAGAGTTAAGTGAGACTGGTGGATTGGTGAGACCCCTTATAGCTGAGTTTATGTTAGTGGTTTCTGATGATTCACCAGTTTCCCAAGCAGATGCTCAGCAGTTACAAATATTGACAGCCCAAACCTCTGGTTAGAAAACAATGTCAAATGACAGTTATATCATACCTGTTTGAAGGTAAGACATTCTTCCCCCTTCAAATACATATGCAAAAAGGTTTGTTTACAGTGCAGTGTATGACTGCATGATCAAAGTTATTAAATAATCATGTAAAAATTTTGATTTACCATAAGTCATTAAAAGGCTAATTTTTTTAATTTGGCTCCTTAATAAAGCTGGGATAATGTGTTGTACTCTCATTGTTGCATTGCTAATTTCCCTTCACATATTTAATGAGCTAGATGGAAAGAAAAAATCTTTATCATTTGGTTCCTGAACTATGTAAAATGAATTTTACAGTTTACATTAACTGCAAAAATACAGCGAATGTGAATGGAGGTTCAATCGCAGCCAGCCTCTGGCCTAATCAACTCCTGTTTATATTCAATATTGTAATTTCAAAGTAATATTACCAGACTATGTGCATAGATATATTTGGTTCAGGTCATGCAGACGAAGAGTTGTTGTCTTATAAATACTTCATTCACCA